ATAGATAGATAGGTAATCTTTATTTCCTCCGAAGTCGAAGATACAGCAGGTTGTAACATGGGTCATATATATGTATTTACAGGATACAGAGTGTGATAATCAAAATTAGAATTAGAATAGGTATTTAGTTGATGTAGCCAAGGTTTTACAGAGCTTGCGATAAGTTTTATACATTTAAACCACATTTCTTGTTCAAGCTCTTGAGCACATACATTTGGTAGACCACCGAGCATAAATGAGACAAATAGGTCTTCATTATTCCACAAACTGACAAAAGTGTCAACATCTAGCATGTCAACTAGTGACTCAATCAAAGCGTTTCTACTACTTTGTATGAGAGTACAGTGTAGAAATACATGTTTTACAATATCATAGGCAACTATGCCACATTCACACTCAAGAGATTGAATGCTAAGTGTGCTGATACGTAGAAGAGTAGCAATATAATTGAAACATTCTGGCATATTATAACATGTAGACCACAGTCTGTGAACATTTTTAGGATATCTTATAGTCTGATATCTTTCAAGGTTAAGTCTCAACCTCGTTACAGAAGCAACATGTGAATCCTCAGCTTTAAGTATTCTTTCTTTAACCAGTACAGACCACTCAGCCTTCGTTAAGAAATCAAGTGCAATGTATTTTCCGTATACCAAATACGCGTGCAAGCTACAGCGCAGAATCTGTAGCAACGATTCTCTTCACTAATTATATCGATGTCATTCATGTGCTTCTGTATGGTCTAATTAATAGTCACGGTCAGTCACTGGGATCACAGTCTACGTCACGAACATAAAGGATGACTATTATTTATTGAGACACTGTACCCCGGTAGAGGATAAACATGGATTATTTGGGATGAACACAGAATGGGGGTCATCATGATAGCTGATCTCCCGTATTCCTCACAAGGCCTTTCTACTCATCAGTTGGTACACGACCGTTATACGGTAAAGAGGAGCTTCTGTTCTCTACCACTGTAGATCACCATAAACACGGAAATAGACATCTGTCGATGGGTAATATAACAATACACGGTTGTTACAGAGACCGTGGGTACCATGTGTGAAGTTCATCTCGTGTTCCTGTGATATTACTGGAATATTGCTAAAGAAATGACGTATTGACTCACTCACTGAAACAGATTAAAATGCATTCATTTCACATTTTGTCTTCATATTTAGTGTAGGTTTATATTGATGATTGTAATTTGGGCTTAATGTTTTTCAGTTCAGGCATATTAAACTGTGCTGACGGAATTTGTGTCAATGATTTAGTTGGAAGAGTTCATGTTAAGTTAATATGCCTGGTCCCGCCTTATGAAGATACAATGTAGGAGTGAGTGAGTGAGTTTAGTTTTACGCCAATATTCCATCGATGATGGTCTGCAACACAGTGTGGACTGAGAGATGACGATCTCGACCTCAAGTCCAGGGAGTCTGTCTCCCAGTCTTGACCCGAAGTCCAATAGGGTTTACACCCAAACCTCGAGCTCCAGTCCAAAGGGTTTACACTTCAATCTCAATCTACCGACCACGAGGTTTACAACAAATCTCGACCTTCAGTCCAGCAGGGTGTCGAACTCAATCTCGACGCCCTGCCTAAATAGAACGAGGCTCATCAGTCCAACGCCGAGCACCAGTCAAGAGAGTCTTAACATCCAGTGAAGAAAGATGTACCGCCCAACCCATCCCAGCCCAGGCTCGACCTCATGGGGGCATATGTGACTTATCTGAACCGGTCGGCCGCGAGGTTGTACGGCGAACTCAAGTCCACAAGGATATAATGGGTCTGCAGCTCAATTCTGACTTCCAGCTCACGGGTGTTTGAAGGAAATGATGAAATTGATGATCTGATCCCAAGAATAGCGCACTGATAAACATTATGTACTTACTTAGCAGGGACATTGAGCCACGACCTTGTGTCAAAGGTTTACCTAGTTCGAGGCTGTGTCCAAGAAAGCACTGACATTATCCCTGAATAATTGAGGCGTCGCAAACAACGTGAACCAGTCACGGAGTAATAATGCTTGACTGGCTTGAACCAGGTGATGGGACTATCAACTGTGGCACCTTCTCCAGTTGTAACAGACTAACATCTGAATTTATGATATAATTTTGATAGAAACAAACAAATATTTCTTATTAAAAAGGAGCTCCAGTGAGATGGATGATTCGGAACCAGAGGAAATCAAGACTTCCTTTCATTAATTTTACATTTTTGATGGAAACAAACAATTCCTTTTAAATTGAAAAGGAGCCCCAGTGAAGAATGTTGGGAAATCTAGACTTGCTTATTTGGGGCTTTAGCGTTGCAAAAAGGGCTACGAAGAAGGGAAATTAATGGGGTTCCGGGACTGTGAGACAGACTACAATTCTAACTGTACATGGATCTCCTACCAACTGCAGTCAAGTGGCATCTGACAGTCATCGCTGACCACTTCAGCTTTCCTAAGAGCATCTCAACACCTCCTTAAACAGCTTGTATGCTCGGCCGCATCTCGACAACAGCATTACGTTAATAGCCAAGGATCCCCTCAAACACCCCCGCCTGGTCATAGCGGCAGTCAGTGGTTATTGTAAGGTAACAATACCGGGATCAGATTTATCGACTTCCCAGGACCAGTCGGTACCTAATACCGACGTGTTCATAAACAGATCTTGAAAGGCTAAGTCAGAAATCCTGATGGACAGTGGTCGAGTGATGTCTCTTCTGTTGCTTTAATCTAAATCAACAGATCTGTCTGAGAAATGGTCACCATTGTAGCAAGAAGGCGCGGTTGTGGAGGTACAGATGTGAGAGCTGCTCCAACGACTGGCGTTGCAATAGGAAACCACCATGTTTAGGCTGTAGTGTGGGAGACCAAATTTGCTTTTATGATCGGTGTCACTCCAACTGATAATACTTCTGTTTAAATAGCATAAATGTAGCTCGTGCTTAAGGTGGGTGTCATATTTCAGTAGGAGCATAATGAATAGAGTTGCTTCCAGCAAATATATTTTGCTTTTATGTGACAGTCTAACGTTGCTTTTTAAAAGACAATTACGATGTTCCAGCGATTAATATAGCTTGTCAAATCTTCCAAGATGCAAATCAACGTCTAAGATTGCTGACACCACATGATGTACGACCTTGAAGGCCGCTTGTCGAAACTTTCATGTAGCACGGTAGCTCGAACGTCTAAAGTCGCAATATGTTGCCACTGTGGCCATATAGCGTCTTAGATCCGCACTATGTCGAGGTTTAGCAACCACTATGGTCTGCTTGTAGCACCGTAGCTCGAACGTCTAAGGTCGCAATATGTCGCCATATAACAACATTTAAGGTCGATTATCGTAACTGTCAAGTAGCACTGTGGCTTTAGCATCTTAGATCCTTACTATTTCGAGGTTTAGCAACCACAATGGTCTGCTTGTAGCACCGTAGCTCTAACGTCTATGGTCGCAGTATGTCGCCATATAACAGTATTCAAGGTCGATTATCGTAACTGTCAAGTAGCACTGTGGCTTTAGCATCTTAGATCCTTACTATTTCGAGGTTTAGCAACCACTATGGTCTGCTTGTAGCACCGTAGCTCGAACGTCTAAGGTCGCAATAAGTCGCCATATAACAACATTTAAGTTCGATTATCGTAACTGTCAAGTAGCACTGTGGCTTTAGCATCTTAGATCCTTACTATGTCGAGGTTTAGCAACCACTATGGTCTGCTTGTAGCACCGTAGCTCTAACGTCTAAGGTCCTAGCTGGATGCAGCAACCACCAAGGTCGCGTGTTGAGACAATAACGTTGCAGCTGTATCGGCTAATGTCGGTGCTATGGAGCGGTTTAGTAACCACTGTCGCCGCTTGTCGAAACGATCATGTAGCAGGGTAGTTGTGACGACTGAAGTCGCTGGTAGAAACTGGACGGTCAAAGCCAAACGGTTGGATCTCCGAGAACAAGCATACCACGATGGTATTTCTTGGATTGTACGACCTCTGTTCAGATGGGATTAGTTGGATAAGGTATCGTAACACCCGCCCCAGGGCGAGTGACTCGCTCGAGAGTGAAATATAGTGTGTGAAATATGCCTGATTAAATCACATGCCGTATATTGTCATGCTTAATGCTTAGCTAATCACTGTGTCAAAACACAAGTATTCAGAGCGATGACCTCCTTCAGTGCTGTCATGACTGGGTGATGGTACGCATCCAGTTGATGATGCTTTTCACCAAGGTTGTGTCATTTAACAAGTATGACATCTTTCAAATCTCTTCAAAAACACAACTGAGCAATTCTTTGTACTCTCTACATACGCATACACCAATCCTATGGCATCTTGCGATACACCCAAATTCATAAAGCATGACAACTTAAAACCACAACAGAGGTACGAAATAGTTTCTCAAGCTGTCAGATTATTTTATGTGAATCTATTCATTTCCCCCTTCCAGTGGGCCGCAATGTCAGGTATACGCATTAAAATGCTAATCTTGGCCGGCAGGTGTGATGAGAGCCGCAGGCTTATGGGTAAGGGGAGGTAATTCTTGCTGTCTCGTTGATAACAAATACCGTGCTGTTGCCTCTTGACGAGGTGATCGTCCGCAGTACGGCTTCATTCATTCACTGGTCCTCGGCCTTCGCTTCCCTGTCACACAGTCTCCCAGTCACACAAACTATATTTACCTCGCGTTGCGTCCTGGAGTAATTTTTTTTTGCCGTTAGTTTACACAGACACAGCGCCGATCAAGACTGTCCTCGTTTATTTTGGGGGGTCGGCCTCAGGTGTTCCAGTTTTAGGTGTGAGAACAGGGTGATCTTGTTAAAGTTCCCTGAGTAAATTTTAGCTCACTGTGGAGAAATTTGTAAGGTATATTGGGACAGACCGAAGTTGCGACACTTGTATTTCTCTTCCCGACCCCATCGGCCTGAGTTGACAGCAGTGTAGTCTCGACCGCTATTGTCTCCTGGTCTGTCCAATCAGCGGAGAGTTTGAAGGGAAGCGAGCCTCAGCCAACCATCCATTGCGGGAGGGAGGGCCACAGAACGTCGGCTAGCTTCTAGCAACAGCCTACAAGCAAGCGGGCCTACCTCTCCCCACACAAACCAATATCACTTCACTATGTGACTGACACGGCTAAGGACAAGGGCGACTCTTGCGGGTCGATTTTCGGTTTGCCTTTCACTCACGACGGACTACCTGATTTCGAACTTCATTTAAAATTGTGTGTATTTCTAAAAGTGAAATTTAAATCGGAGTCTGGAGGTCTGTGTTTTATTTACGAATTCAAGCCAGGATGGTGTCTAGCTACCCACGTGTACCCGAGAGTAGGGGGGACTAGAGGAGCTCGATGTGGGTACCACCCGCCCCCCACAGAGCGTGTCCGGCCATAGCTGCAGGGTGCGATACCCCACCCCCCGGGACCGATTCCCCACCCCCTCGGCCCGCCTTCAAACTCTACTGCCTTCAGACGGGTTAGCGGGAGGCCAGTGTGGATACCTGTATAACAACAGCACTACTTGTGTCTGTGTTGTGTTTTAAATGGATATCTTGTGTTGTTTTCATCGATTTTTTCGGATACGAGCACACGATTGGAAAACAACTGTACTAATCAAAGTTCATTTTTTATGAGACAAGTGAAAGTTTTTAGGAGTTAGAATCTCTTGTGTAAAACCCTTCAGTGTATAAAAAGGGGTTTCTGTCCATCCGATTTCAGCAAGCTTGTGCGTTGGATAGTGGGATTTGTGTGGCAGCTCGACAGTGTTCGAGCTTATTTTTAACACCAGTTACTCGTGAAAGTGGATCTCTATTCTATATTCCGATGGAAGACAAGTTGTGTACCCTAGAGTGAATGTGACACTTAGAATGGAAGCGAGCGTCCAATTCGCCCAGGGAGTTGGCACAGTATGAGGACAGGCGGTGTTTCCTGGGAATTTAGCCCATGCAGGTAAGTTCAGCCAGACACGGACCAAAACCTTCTATTTCCAGCCTCCCCTAGCATAAAACCACGCCTTCAAGCTAGTCCGTGGACCCGGCAGAGACATGGGACTCCTCACAGTGTTATTTTCGCGTCCCTCCTTCACTCCGAGTCGGCATGTGGGTAACGTGCTTGGGGAGCATGTAGTTGAATTTAAGCATGTCAACCATACTAGTTTTCCGTTCCGCTATGTCCCCGACCCGCTCGGACGCTAGTCATGCCGTACCCCCCCCCCTCCTCCTCCTCACCCCTGATATTGTCACTACCCCCAATATTTACCCAGGTTAATTGCATTTTAATCACATTCATTGTATTCTTTCAAATTTGTTATCCTTTAAAAAAACACACAGTATTATTCCAGATTGAAATGTGTTAAGTTACAACTTGCGTTAAGAAATTTTAAAGGGCCAATCGAACAGAAAAGGGTTAGCTGACTAAGCAGATACTGTGGATTTATTGTCAAACTTGAATTTAAACTTCACAGTCGACCTTAGACCCAAAACCGCTGACAACCGAGTACGGCGCCCTTGTCCGCCTCGACCCTGTACACCGTCTTCAAGTAAGCATCGACTTTTTTCGGATGTGAATGAGATGTTTGTTGATAGGGAACATATTTAAGCGAGGAGAACTGGGGACGGACGGTATAGTGGGCGCTGTTTGACCGTCTTCTCAACACACGATCGATGTTAAACGGGCTATCCTGCAACAGTGTAACGTATATTACTCCCGAACATCTTTTACACGTGATTTGAATAAGTGATGGTTCTGTGTGACATATTTATCATGTTAATTGAGACATGTTTTGTCAGTTATGTAGTGGATGCATGCTTGAATTATTTCATTACTTTTTGATCCAATTAATTATCAAAGAAAAACCGGCAAACTGTCAAACTCCCCATGAAGATGAATTAGTATTTTTACATGTTTTTTTCTGAGACAATGGTAGTTATTTCTAGACGATGAGAGTCTGTCGTTATATAACCCGCTGGATTAAACATCTATCATGTCCCTTGACACTAACGTGCGTCGCATGTAGTAGACGGAAGCAGGAGTTTTTTTAAAGTATTTAAAACATCTGCCGTAGGCATATGTACGTTCGTCTAATTGAGAACCGACATGTTGAGAGCTCCAGCCATAGGGCTACACAGAGGTCAGGCTGATGATCTCGATCGACCCTTTCCCCATATTTGAGACACGTAATCTTTAGAGAGGTAGCATCACATTTGATTCGACCTAGTTACATAAATTAAATTGCCTTCATCATTATTCCTTCCTAGATATTTATAAACAAGTTGAGTTGGTTTCGACAGCAGTGATCGTGTCAATTTCCCCGAACCGCAAATCACTACTGGGTTACATTGTCATACAAGGTATTAGATATCTGTCACGGTTTCAGCTAAAGGATGATATCAGCATGTATTCGACCGTATGTAGTTTATACACTTCTGTTATAATATGTAATAGACATTATTATTCATAGTCGACAGGGGCTTATCCCTGAAACTGAAATTAGGAAGATGGCTGAAGGCCAGGTGAGAGGATGAAAGCCGGAGTTGATTACAGGTGTTCAGGGCATACAGAATACTGTTACAGTATATTAAACATCCTTTTGCCTAATCGACAGGGTCTCATACCTGGAATTGAAATAAGCAAGGAGGTTGAAGGCCAGGTGAGAGGATGAAAGTCGGAGTTGATTACAGGTGTTCAGGGCATACAGAATACTGTTACAGTATATTAAACATCCTTTTGTCTAATCGACAGGGTCTCATACCTGGAATTGAAATAAGCAAGATTGTTGAAGGCCAGGTGAGAGGGTTAAAGTCGGAGTTGATTACAGGTATTCAGGGCATACAGAATACTGTTACAGTATATTAAACATCTTTTTGCCTAATCGACAGGGTCTCATACCTGGAATTGAAATAAGCAAGGCGGTTGAAGGCCAGGTGAGAGGGTGAAAGTCGGAGTTGATTACAGGTGTTCAGGGCATACAGACTACTGTTACAGTATATTAAACATCCTTTTGCCTAATCGACAGGGTCTCATACCTGGAATTGAAATAAGCAAGATTGTTGAAGGCCAGGTGAGAGGATGAAAGCCGGAGTTGATTACAGGTGTTCAGGGCATACAGACTACTGTTACAGTATATTAAACATCCTTTTGCCTAATCGACAGGGTCTCATACCTGGAATTGAAATAAGCAAGGCGGTTGAAGGCCAGGTGAGAGGATGAAAGTCGGAGTTGATTACAGGTGTGCATTGCCTATGCTGAACCACATGGAGTATTTAGTGCAGCGGATTGCAATCGCGGAGAACGCTACGAGGCTTTATAAAGCCTCTGTTTAACCCGTCTCAAATTCACTATGTGTGTCATTACATGCGCTGCAGCTAAAGGCGGACACGATCTCATTGTGAACATCCAGCGCGGGGGAAATCGTATCGTTGTTTCTCTTTCTCAAACCGTATAACCACCCCTCGTGAATGAGCGAGTTTATATCTCGTACTTAGCAGTATTTCTGCACATCGAGGACCTATCATTTATCGGCCTTTGGAACGAAATCATTCTCGGTATTAAACCCAGAATGGGTGACAAACAAACACCTTACCTATTAAACCACAGGTACCAAAAAGACATGTACTGATTTTCTCCAATATGTATATTTCGTTACAGCGTTCATTTCATCGCAGTCTTTTACTGATACATATACGGTAACTGCTCGTGTGGGTTTTTTTCAAAATCTTGATTGCCAGTTCGTGATTACATCATGTTCTTGACTTGGATGCCTCGGTATAGGTCAGAACAATGACAGATTGGGTTGTCTTAATCACGACTAGGCAGTGTATATTTCTTAGGCTAGCGTTAAATAGTGACAAATCAGCTTAACGGTAAACGGGTAATCAGATCGTGTTTTGTTAAATTTTAATTTAAATTCTCTACCTGAAAATAACTTCAAGCTACTGCAAATGATTTAGGAAACATGAAATCATAATACCTTTAAAATTAAGATATTAGTACCTAACTAGATGGCAGTCATTTTGACCGGCACTCCAAAACCTAATAATGTTTACAATGCAGGCAATGATCCCATGTTATGTAACGGTGTTGGGGTTGGTGAGGCAGCCCACGTAAGCGGCGGAGTTTAAGATGTGCAATGTAAGTGCGTGTAGGTCGGTACCTGGTCTCTGCACCTGTGGGCGGAATATCAATCAGTGTTACCTGCACAGGTAGATGCATAGGAAGTCTGGCGGGATTCTTAATGGCAGGTTTTACTTGATGGAGTTTCTCTGCATCACCTTGAAACAATACCAGTGTCGATAAAAATAGGATAGGATGAAGGTACAGCCCTGGAAGACACTAAATACTCGAACGTTAAAAAGTCAATAAAACGAGACATTAAAGGTACAAGTTTACGAGGGAGTGACTCGGTGCTGCTGGATATATACACTATAAGGGCTATGTTAACTAGAGGCATGCGAAGACCTTTCTTTTTAGGGTGACGTGTCCAGGTATTTTCTAAAGGAGGAAGAGGGGAGCCTTGGCCTCCGTGTGTCGGGGAGGCGTCAGCAACGACGAGGCACGTTCAGAGAGCTCGCCCCATGCGCCTCGGCATTCTAGAAACAATCAAGTTTAACTGTGCTGTTTGGTGTCAATTAGTAGACACAAACAAACTAACTCATAAAGTAACTAGAATACTGTCAGCAATGCATACAAACAGTAGTAGCAAGCCATACCGCGACAGAAAAGGTCTTCATTCCTAGACTACACCCCCGTTAATCCGGACAGAGTTCATGGTTTGGTTGATGGATACGAATTTGTTTTCCTTTATAACATATGCGTTCCTGGCAGTTGTGTCTAATAGGTGGATGTCCGGATTAAAAAGGGTCAAGACTAATGAGGTGTTACTGAAGATCTTTTATGATTTGGTTGTAGAGATTACTGGGACAAATGGACTGTGGTTACACGGCCATGTTAGCCCGATTAAGAGAAGAGCTGTATTATTTTGCTAACTGTAAGATTACCGTGTCCTCAATGAATAAGAGCAAACAACTGTAATGTGCTAAAACCTTGTGTGACCTTCTCACAAAACCTGCATAATTTACATCACGTTGGCGTTTGTGTATAAAAGATTCATTTCCCCGATAAATCACATTTTGTGTGTCTACGGAAGTGGGTGTCCCACCTATTGGCATACAGGGCAGAGAGTCAAACCGCAGACACAACAAACTCCGCTCGTTACGAGGTCTCGCCCACGCAAACGCACACACACACAACCACACACAACCACACACACACACATGGCAGACATAACCGTCTGGTACACCCACTTCGCACCTTGGTTTAAGAGACGCTCAAGCCAGGAGGATTAACACTCCTATGCCGAAGCCGAAACGCCCACACTCGGGAAATCCCGCCTGTGTCTCGAGAACAACCACAGTCGCTAGCACGTGTAGATCAATACTTGCACCGCGAACTCTGTCAAAATGTAACATATTCTGCCCTTGAAAGAAAGTAGAGATGTTTGCACAATTCCTTATTTTGATAAAGATTGTTTATTCCTTTTTGTTGATGTTTACACCGTTTTCAGCAAAATCTCAGCAATATCGCGGAGGGACCCCCAAACCGTTTCACTATTCACATTCTGGATTCGAACCCGAGGATGATCGTGTTCAAGTGAACACTTGAACCACACTAACCTACCCAACCGGCCGTTTATTCAGAACATGGTGTATGCAGTAATTTACAGAGGTCATTAATAGCGAAAGCTTGACATTTTAATCCGTACTAAACCTCTGTTCGTGACAAGTGAATGGAACACAGTACGTAGCGTACGTACAGGGTACGGGGGAAACTGAAAATATTGTAAAGCCCACATGACTACGAGTTGACAGCAAAACATAACTGACCCCGATAGCGGGGAATCACGACCACTTGCGTGTATTCATTATGACATACTTTGGTTGTTATTATATAACGCTGACACAGCAGGTTTGAATATTTACCCTCGTAATTGAATGTCGTGGTTCGAGATATGTTATGTAGGAATAAAGAGAGCCTAATGTACACCGTTCACAGATTGCAGCCGATGACAACATCTAGATATATAGTTACACGATAGAGGTGTTCAACGGTGTACGAGTAATGTTTAATCTAAACCACGGCTTCATAGCTGTAGGTACCTCACGACTCGACTGAGGCCAACCGGACCTCTGCGCAATAGGCTTGCATCACAAATCACGTATCACAGATCGTTGTCACATTTAGGTTATGCAGTCAAGTAATATCATCTCGTGTCACTGGTGTAAAAAACACGACTCAAATTACCAGGTATCTCCAGCACTTCCTGTTACAATGTGCTGAATTTAGAAACATCCGGCTTACTTTCTCAATGAATATCTATATTTCCCCGCAAGTAAAGAATTACAAAGTTGAAAATATTAAACGTATAAATATATGTATACATATGAACACAATATACATATACAGTATTTTTCAATTGGGATGCAATATGATATCTCAAATTTTCATTGTAGGGGATATATTTTAATTTACTACGAAACCTTGTTAATCCGGACCTTGCTAATCTGGACACGTCCCCTTTATTTGGAAACGTCATTATAATATGGGAGACATTAATGTGTCCCATACATTGAGTTCGTTAATCCGGACAGTAGATCTCAACGTACTGTCCACATTAACGAGGTATTTAATATGGTTGTTAAAGACTCCACGCTAATATGCCCACTGCATCCGTGACATACAGAAGAATGTACATTAATTTGTATGTTCGACACGTCATATTAGTATGTACATGCCCGGTCTATGTACCTCAGTGATTACTTTGTCATAAATATTTGTTGTTGGTCGTCTACCGCGCACACGAACAATCATTAAATGTGGGTTTACAAAGGTTCAGATGTCAATGTGACTGCTGATAGTGCTAACTGAGCCATACGTAGGTCCCGACACAACTATAAAACATTTAACCCCCTGTTGTATCTGTATCAGGCATTGGCTGAAACGTAGACCACGCTCCAGGTTGGATGAAATACTAGCAAGACGTCGTATCACCAACAGTTGTTGTGGCCGCTTCCACAAACTGCGTTCTCTGCCGTGACGAGCGAGGCTAAAGCTGAAAATAGGACGCTCACAGAAAAAAAAAGAAAATTATGTCGGGGAAAATCTTGTGTCAACTGTGTGAGAAAGTGGGGTGACTTCAAGCATGCAAACAATGTCATACGGGCCAAACATATGTGGGCAGTATCAACCGCATCTCCATGTTTAACTCGCAACAGAGATGGGGGAGATTATTTCAAATCTTCTACCACGTGCATGCGATTTGAGGTATGCATAGGACTGCTCGTCGCTGAGATTTGTTGCTTTTACGAAACAGGCGGTTCCCCCAAGTGAATTCAGTAATGAGCTTCATCTTTGTCTAGTGAGGCCGGCATGCAGAATGGGCCGGCTGCACATCAGTGGTTGTGAATGACTAGCAGAATAGTTGACTTGCCATCACAGACTACGCTTTCTATACATCTCTCCCCCTCACAATCCCAACCTGCCGACAAACACGCCTGAAGGATTTACAGATATTTTAAGTTATGAATTGAATAAATGGTTTAGATGAAAAATCATCCGACTGGTCACTCGATAGGATTCGCGTTTCTCCTGTCTTAGTGAACTCGTCTTTGGATCGTTCAACCTGCTAACCTCTCACGGGTCCCCTTAAACAATTTCACCCCCACCTATCCCCTCCCCCCTCCCGTCTTTGTAATGTATAGCAACAAAATGAAAATTGTGACGATGTTTCGCTATGTGGACGCGGCGAAGGATGCACTTGTCATTGAGCAATGTTAACTAAATAGGGTATTTTTTTTCATTTTCTCGGAGGCAAGACCAAGGTGGGAGAGCCACTAACCTCACGGCTAGTCTAGCGGTTTAGTCAAATATTTGAGGGAGCGAACGGTATGGCTTGTTACAACGAACACCAGACAAGTGATTAAACCCTTCTTTGATGTGCGTCGACATTTACTAATTAGCAATCATCTAAGACGATATTCTTTCTCTGTGGCCATGTATATTTGACCGCCGGAATTGTAGAGTTTCTTTCGTTGGTTATGTTTCTGTAGGTCAACCGACGGCTGACAGGGTTGTGCACTCTGTGACCAGGTTCGACCCTCGGTCAGCGGGCTGTTTGTCGCCCTGGTCCAACAGTCTGCGGGGGTCGTGCCGACTGCAAGACGGTCATCTTTACGTGCTTAGAACATTACTGACAGCAAATAGGAGTTGATCCCTCGTAGAACCTAAGAACTGTCAGAACAAACTGTCATTGGTCTAGCCGATTAGTTATATAATGTGTCCACCGTCTTAGTTCAACTGTCCTCCTACACGTACTCTATACAAAATGTTTCTAAAACATTTAAACTACTATCCTTTTCCAGGTAATTAATATTTTCCCCTTGTTATGAAACTAAGTTCGTTTGCCCTTTTAGCGACCATGTCAGTAACAACAACGTGATTCTCCTCTTTAGTTAGAAATCCATTTTTGTTAGGTATTGCATAAATTTAACGGTTGTATTTCACTAATGGACCATGCTAGTAGGTGCACTTTGTGTGATTATGTAGTTTACATACGACTCAACTTTACGCTTCACAAAGCATCTGCACATATATAATGCAATATTCCTTTTTGCTCTGTGTGCAAACAAGTTTGAGATATACACATCAATATAACCACCAAAGTATACGTGTGAATTAATGCATTAGATAACGCCAGCGTTCGTACTTCAAATTTGTATTGAAAAAATACAATAATAACGACTGCGAATAAGACGCTCACATAACCTTGACGGAGTATTTTGATGGACTGATTATATATTTGTTGTGTCGACATGGATATTTTTTACGATCTTTTCTGTTTGCTGACGTTGTATCTGGCTGTATCGCCCACGTACGGGTGTCCTTGTTACAACGCTGCGATGATGTTGTTAGGGTCGTAGAAAGTTACTCACTCACTCAGACACTTAAACGTTAGGTAAAATCCGTTTGCGTGCAATGTATTAACGTTTTGATAACCTTGAATTGGCGTTGTGACGTTTAATTGACGTATTGACGTTTTAGCGCTGAATTCCTGTTGTGTTGACGTTGAATTGACGTTTTGAAGTTGTATTGCCCCTTTATTAAGGTTGAATTGACGCTGTATTGACTAATGGATGTTGTGTGGTTAACGTTGAAGTAACGCCACATTGACTGACTGACTGACTGAGTTTAGTTTTACGCCGCTTTTTAGCAATATTCCAGCAATATCACGGCGGGGGACACCAGAAATGGGCTTCACACATTGTGCCCATGTGGGGAATCGAACCCGGGTCTTCGGCGTGACCAGCCAACGCTTTAACCACTAGGCTACCCCACCGCCCCAGCGCCACATTGAAGTTGAATCGATGCTGTATAGACATATGGGTGTTCTAACGTCAACGTTGAAGTGACGCTGTATTGAAGTTTAACAGACGCTGTATTGGTGTCATAGCGCTGAAATAATGCTGCACTGAAGTTAAATTGACGCTGTATTGGCGTAATGTTGATTATGGAACGTTGAATTGATTCTCCATTGATGTTGCAATATTGCAGTGACGCTGCCTTTACGTTGTGACGTTGAACGCTGTATTTAAGATGAACTGACGTGGTATTAACGTCGAAGTTGTACCGATGTCGTAACGTTACACTGACGCTGCCTTTACGTTGTGACGTTGAACGCTGTATTTAAGATGAACTGACGTGGTATTAACGTCGAAGTTGTACCGATGTCGTAACGTTACACTGACGCTGCCTTTACGTTGTGACGTTGAACGCTGTATTTAAGATGAACTGACGTGGTATTAACGTCGAAGTTGTACCGATGTCGTAACGTTACACTGACGCTGCCTTTACGTTGTGACGTTGAACGCTGTATTTAAGATGAACTGACGTGGTATTAACGTTGAAGTTGTACTGATGTCGTAACGTTACACTGACGTTGTATTCTCTGTTTCAGGTTGTTGCCGTTGCTGCTCATCATACTCTTGAGTATTCTTGGCGTTAACGCAGTAAGTAGCACACTGTTCAATATAAGTGTTATCAACCAGTTGTTTGAAAAGGGGAAATACCTTTACAAACGGATATCATATTCTTGATGGGCAGTTAGAAGTTGGAAGGTAACATAACAACGTATGGTATGGTCTTGCACCTGATGAAAGGGCAAGAAGTAGCCCAGAAACGTCGTGTTGTAACACCCGATGAAGGGGCAAGAAGTAGCCCAGAAACGTCGTGTTGTAACACCTGATGAAGGGGCAAGAAGTAGCCCAGAAACGTCGTATTGTAAATATTAAAGAAGTTGTAAATCCATACCATACGTTGTTATGCCGATATCATATTGTGTACATATATTCCGAGCAATTTATGTCATGCATTAATATAATAGCAATATAATAGATTTAGTACTAAATCCAAGGGCATTATGTACTAAATCCTAAGGTGTCGACACTAAGGTGTGATTTTGTTTTTTTTCTTGAATTTCTGAAATCAAAGATGTCAACACACGTCCCCCATAATCATAGGATTAAAGTTCTTTAATTACAATTACTGAAATCTTAACTACCTAGCGGCGATGCACTTTCCAATAGGTGAAATCAAGTCCAGTTTAATGGTGTGATTGTTTGTGTATATTGGGTAGAGTGTTACATAAACAACAGAACCAGCTTAAACAGTACGCCTATTGTGTAATATATATGATACGTATACAAGCAACATTCCCCTACGGCTATTGACACGGGCATAAAAGAATTATTCTAATCGGAAAGTAATTGCATCAATTATAGTCTTCATTCATTGGGGTAATCAGCTTTTTCCGGTTATGAAAGAACAACGACTTGGTCAATATTGACAGGGAAATGTAGCGACCTACGTGGTACGGCGGACATACAAGATAATTAACAAGCACAAACATTTACAATGATGAAGAGATCAATACCAACAGGCTTCTTTATCACAAACTGTGTGTACCAACCTCTGTTAACAAACAGCTCCTCTATACCGCCATCGACACTGTAGACTGTTTAAGACTTCGCAATATGATGGGATTGGCGAATGGCGGTCGTTATCTGTGTTATGGTACAACGTCAGCGTGAGAAAGGGGTGAGGGCTCTACCCCGGTCATATTGTCATAAGGCCTGATGACCCTCCCCGCCCCTCCCCCATCTAAGGGTAAACAGCGGGTGCCAACGGGCCGCCGTTCACATTGTAAACATCCAGTGTTAGGTATACTGGCAGAATCTCTTGCTTCTACTGTACGTCTCTTATGAACTAATTAGTGTGTGAGTGCCGCCTCGTACGGCTAAGTGTTGATAATACTCCAAGTTTAATTGACGTTTAGGCTTTTGAGAGAAGCGTTGGGCTTAATCGTGATATGTGGTATCATGTAGCTCCGAGTACATGCAGCAGCAACGTTTATTCGGCACCGCTGTGATCCCCACCAAGCCCTTTCTAAGCCATGACGGCAGGTGAAATGTACTCGAGTAGCCTCCCCTAACAGGCACATGTAACCAAATGTAACATTTATCGACTGATATTTGCTTAGAACTGCATTCCCGAAAAAAACATTCGTTAAAAATTGCTGAGCAATCAAATACTCCGGCCCGGTGGTAAAACAGGTCTCCTTAGCTTGACTCTGAGCCTAAGGAAATTCAAGGTAAGACTGATACAGTGTGTAGGACGTGTTCCTATCTGGTATTGTGGGAGATGTGGTTGATTGAATGAAGCGTTACGCCGCAGTCAACAATATCCCCATTGATCAAGCCATCCTGCAAATAACCGAGTTACAATAATTTGAATATACTGTTAAGAGACTGGCCATAAATGAAGTTCAATAGGTAACCCGTTAATATCTTTATTATATTTAGACGTGGGGACGGTGACCTTAGTCCATCATTGTTTGTAGATGTCTACCCGTGAATCAGACCCCCATAGGGAAATGATTTGTGATCAACGAGGCGGGGAAATTCCAGGGTGGCTGAAATCAGAACAGCTTGACTGCATTTGAAATGACCATTTGCACTAACCACCAGGGTTCTTGCAATAGCCCGGGGCATTAATGGACTCATTTGTGATAATTGCAAATACAAACGTTGACCTTGACAGCAATAACGCTGAAAACCTCCGAAGGTCGACCCTGGCCATTGTTTTACATACTTGTCAGGACCCACAGCTTAACAAACGGGAAGGCAAAGTTTAGCATTTAGAGATTTAATCGGTAATCTTCGAGCATTAAGCTAAACCCTCCCGTGGTGTCCTTGCCCCGGGCGTTTGAAATCCTCCCAGTAAGTCGCGTGTTACTAATGATGGTCACGATGGAGAGCACGTCTTTTCAATCTTTTTGTTTCGTTTGAAGGTGATTTTAAGTGCACCTGTAGTTGTCTCCCAAATGAACAACAAGCTGACGGATCACAGCAAGGTCTCCCACCGACCCACCATAGAAGTAACACGTGCTCAATCCTGCTGGTCCATTCATCTTGAGTTTTTCTTTCAATCCTTCAAGCGCAGCCATTTTAACATCTGTCTGTTAAGTGTACATGTGTGTAATATCCCCAGTTTACACTGTACTGTAAAAATGGTCGACGCCAGCACGTGGAAATTATGTCTGTGTCCCCCTAGACAGGGTTCTTGACCGCTATTATAGACCCTCTAAGGCAGGGTGTTAAAATCCAATTAGAAGTTTGGTCCACGAACACTCTGCTTTCATTGACGGGCTCAGATAGCAACTGGCTGCAGACTTTGATCAACGCTATTGGATCCCGGGAGGTCAAGGACGTGTAAATGTTTTGAATGTCATATATGAAGTTCGAATAATAAATCTGTAGTCTGAATTAACCAGTCGACGGCCTGTTTATGTCGCATAAAAAATGGAATATGAAAAGAATCAAATTTATTACGGCACAAGTGTAGACGAGAACACTGAACAGTATTGTTGACAACATGAATGAAATTTGACGTTATGTACAAACTGGCGTGATGGGCATATAAACTCGCAACTAGCGCAGTATAAAGTTACATTTATCTTCTTTCATGAAATATCCTCTCATTTTTTTAATGATTACTGGACTATCATATAACATTTAATGAAAAAACCCAACGTTTTCTGCCACATTTTAGTCTTATAGTTTCAATATTCACTGTCCCTAATTGAATAATTTAGTTAAATATCTCCATTGAGCTCATGCCGAGGGCATCGTTTAACTGACAATGCTGCTGTAGTCAAGGAGGACCGCCCACATGATAAAACTGTGTTAATAAATTATCGCATGACCTAACCTCCTCATGTTTTTTGACGAGAACGAACGCGACCGACTTACATTACCTATCAGAGTATATGCATTGCATTTCTGCATGAAAATATTGTTTTTATCTGGTGTGAGGATTGAGACAATAGGGTCTGTTCCTTTAGGGCTGACAGTGTCTAGTCACTATGGGAAATAAATCTCTCGTTTTCTCAGTCGGTCGTATTTGTTTACGAAGGTTTATCTTTCGTCTTATGGTATTCTTATGGGCCATATGTACTCGAAGTGAATGCAGATGTTTGTAAGTCTCGAACTATAAATCTTGACAAGGTAGTAATCAAATGTTTACTATACTTTACATTTGTTTCTTGTGTTGAGACGTGTAATTAGCTTTCAGAAATAGATCTAGGTTGAGAGTGTTTAAGAATTGACAGATAAATCGCTGCTAGAGGCTTTAACCCGATTTTAGATTTTCAACACTTCACGGTTACTGATCAGAGACTCCGGTCTTTACCTCCGTGTTGTTCGTTCAAATATCTGCCCCGTTAGCAGCTGTTGAGGGTACTTCAAACAACAAAGACACACAAATCAAATATTGTGTAGAACAATCGTTTCGCAACACCACATCATTCTTTTGTCCCGGATAATCGGAACTACATTTTGTGGGATCGGGACAATTTGTGTTGAGGGTGAGAACTCCCCGCCCCTAGTCCCCGAGGGTAATTGCCACCAGAACGTTAGGGGGACTCCCAGTGCCGTTAATTCACCCTTGGGAGCAAGACTTTTTGTAATACTTACATTGATAACATTCCATCAGGCTTCTAGCTAAAGTAAATTTAATATCCAAATTTCTTGTGAGCAAAGTCGCGTTAGCTCCGCCTAGGGGTACACGTTTTGTTGCCCCGTGTCTCCGTCTGTCGTTCATCAATATCAAGGGGTCCCTGCTACCGCTCGTCCACTATGTAGAAGGTTACAATTTGACAGATGAACTTGCCGGTGCATTAAAACTTTCAAACAGATTCTATTTTTATGTTTGAAGGATTTCAATGCAGAACCAGCGCGGAAAATGTCAAGCTTACGAATCATGGATCCGTTCTAAAGCTTCCATTGTGTGAAGTTATTAAGTGTATGCCTTAAACCACCATGAATAACTTTACGCGAAAGTTTGTCATAGAATACAGACTTGTGAGTATAGCACGTGTATTCGCTTGCAATGGAAATATGCAAGCCTGCTTGAATGGCGGAAAGAGGTTCTTTGTCCGTGTTTAAAAGACCTTCTGAAGACGACGCTTGCAGTGAATTTGAAATGAAAACTGACGTAGATGTATATATACGTATTTACCCGACAACTTCGTGTCAATTGAGTAGCTGGAGAACGTATGTCTCAGTGTATGTTTACACCCGTATTACACCGCGCTTTACACCCATGCTGTTACATAGCGAAGACCTAGCCGTATTTGCGACTCCAGTTGACGTATTTAAGTGTTTACATTAAGGGTGAAGTGAAATCTCAAAAGCGAAAATGTTCATTTCCTATTTGACAACGTGTAATGTTTATGTATATTCTATATAGGTCTGTGTTAGTTTATCAGGTCACGTGACCTGCGTTATCAGGAGACAAGGTCTTTGGGTAGTTACTTTTTTTCTTCAGTCTTAATGCATTGATGATACAGCGCTATATTGTTCACCGCGGATGTAACCTGGCTACTCTGTAGAAAGTCGGCCGATAACCTAGTGAGATAGCACCATGTATCTGATCTGTTACTGTAGTGCAGTTTCAGAGAGTATAGTCCTTGGCAGTATGAAGTGTCATTAGTGAACTGTTTTTAATTGACAGTAGTTTCAGCTTTAGATAATTTTTTGTCTACATAAGCTCTGACAAGGACGTACGGGTGATAAAGTGTGTCGTAGACTATCCGATGTCATGGACGACTCGACACAATAGTGAATCGTGGCATCTCTAAGCACTACCTGTTTATCACATTGATCACGGTTCCAAAATATCAATTATTTCAACTTAAAAGTTTGGGTGGGGCGGTGAGGTAGCCTAGTGGTTAAAGCGTTCACTCGTCACGCCGGGTTCGATTCCTACAAGGGTACAATGTGTGAACCCATTTCTGGTGTCCCCCTCCTTGATATTGCTGGAGGGGCGGTGAGGTAGCCTAGTGGTTAAAGCGTTCACTCGAAACGCCGGGTTCGATTCCCTACAAGGGTACAATGTGTGAACCCATTTCTGATGTACCCCTCCTTGATATTGCTGGAATATTGCTAAAGGGGGCGTAAAACTAAACTCACTCACTCACTAGTCAGGAAATATTGCAATGTACATGCCGTTTCGTTTTTTTCTGTCCTTTACAGCCGCCTCCGTGGTGTAGTGGTTAGAGCGTCCGCCCGGAGAGCGGAAGGTCGCGGGTTCGATCCCCGACCGCGTCATACCAAAAGACGTTAAAATATGGTACTTGTTGGTCCCTGCTTGGCGCTCGGCATTAATGGGTACAACAAGGACTGGTCGGCTCGGAGTCAGTATAATGTGTCTGAGTGGGGTATTCATGCATCACTGCGGCATGGTATCTCAGTGGGCTAGCACTATAAAACCAGCTTCAGTCAGGGCTAGTACAAGCAGCCGCACCTACACATACACACGCATGCACGTCGTCATATGAGCGAAATATTCCCCAGAGCGACGTTAAACCCAATTTCACCTCACCTTCTGTCCTTTACATGAGTCACCTGAATCTTTAATGATTCCGTGAGAAGTACTTTTCTCAAAATCTCATTTCTTACGCTGGTACCTCTAAATGATTCAACAATGGTGTAGGGATCATTGGTGCATTGGAATATTGATGTCGGGTAGCAATAATTAAAGTATACTGCTCTGAAGAAATTGATATTTCTTAATATTGAAAATCTATTTCTATTTCGATAATGTTTTTAATGATTGATTAATGTAAACATTAATAAGTGAGAAAATATTTAGTGACTTTTAGAACCGACAAAAGCAGGCAATGGTTCCGTTATTGGTAAACAGTCTAAACCGGTTTCACCTACAGAGGTTTTCCTATCCCAACCAATTCCTGTTCTATCGTCGACAACTGATACAGTTATTAATTGTAGGTGATGACACAAAGAGAATATACCCATTTTGGGGCATACAATAACTTAACCGACATCTGGACAAAATACTGCTGTATCGTCAAAACCATCCATGTTTCTTTACAATCGATAACCATTCCAGAAGTGGTGACATTCATGCTATTTATACAACATGTTTTTGTTCCAGGTTCATGGTTCCTCGAACACCAAAAACGGAATCTTCAAAATAGATAGGCAGGTAGCACAGAACCCTGGCAGCGAGACTCACAGCCTGAAGTATCAGCTGTATAATAGGTGTAGCGAAGGATACGTCCAGATTAAGAGGACTCGTTCGAAAAAGGGCAATCGGATCCAGATTCTTGCCAGGGGAAGACGGCAAAAGAGTATTACAAGTAAGTCAATCCATCTGACCCGGCCTTCGTTCGTTTTATTCCACAGATCTGTTACAGTACCGATCACTGGATTGACTGGTCCAGACTCGATTATTTACAGACCGCCCCCATATAGCTGGAATATTGCTGAGTGCAGCGTAAAACTAAACTCACTCACTCACTGTTAAAGTACAATCCCTGTTTAATTATAAATGGCGCTGTGCAGAGTTGCTTCCCTTTGGCGCACCAGAACCCCGTGCCTTAGGTTCAAATCCAATATTCGCCAGAATCATGTTAGTTCGTCAGCACTGATGTGGTGAATGTCTTTTGTGGCTGTCTTCCCACATCAAGACACGTTGATAACTCACCCACCCATAGGGAATGAGTTTCTTTATTTGGCATTTGTAAGACTGACCACAATACACTGAGCTGGTGGACACACAAGGTAGAGTTGTTCCCCCCCCCCCCCCGACCATAAAACAAGAATTTGTCACGGCATATTCCTCGTAAATTTGGTTTATTTGTTTGTTGTCTAACGGCACACTCAGCAATACTCCAGCTATATGGCGGCTGTCCGTATATAATCGAGTCTTGACCAAACAATCCGGTGATCAACATTATGAGCATCGGTCAACCCAACTGGGATACGATGCAGTGCTTCAACAGGACGTCAGGCACAATAATATCCTCATATCTGATGCCAGTAGCTTGTGGCATTAAACTATTATCATTAGACCTGTGCAGGAGTGGTTACCGCATGTAATTTCTAGCTGATAGCCTAGTGGTTAAAGCGTTCGCTCGTCACGCCGAAGACCCGGGTTCGATTCCCCACATGGGTACAATGTGTGAACCCCATTTCTGGTGTCCCGTGATATTTCTGGAAGTTTGCTAAAAGCGGCATAAAACCCAACTCACACACTCACTCACTCTGATATGTACCAGCCGGCTGAGCCTGTGTGTCATCATACCCAACACCAGCGTCAACATCAAAATGTCCTAGTTTTTATTTGGCTCCTTTGTACTTAACCGTAGGTCGAGTGTCTATCTAGTTACATGTACTAATGGATAGGTACTTTACATGTGTGTCTGCGAGCGGAGAAATGTAGCGTCAACCATTGACAACTGATTGGTCGTTATATACATGATCCGAGCTTAACCTGATAACAATAGATAAGATAACGATATGATATACCTGTCAGTTAGAGGCTACCTATGCGGTTGTATTTGTTTATCTTACCTAGCTTAAACTCCGACTGGCCTAAATGTTGCCTGTCTCATAGTCAGGAGGAATGCCCGGATTTCGGTCGTTAACTTTGTCGTTAAGTCATCTCCTATATCACTGTGAAATATGTCGAGAACATGCCGGCATGGCTTTACGATATGTTCCATATGAACAAAATGTTGCCTCGTTATTCAGCTTCCGGCCTATTTATTCTTACCTAAACATGTCTGGGAATGTCATAGGGTCTGACGGGGTTTAATGTCATATTCACCTTGTTGTCTAGGATGGAATCCACCATATTCACGTATTCACTGCTATTCGGGGCGGCGAGGTAGCCTAGTGGTTAAGGCGTCCGCTCGTCACGTCGAAGGCCCGGGTTCGATTCCCCACATGGGTACAATGTGTGAAGACCGTTTCTGGTGTCCCCCGACGTGATATTGCCGGAATATTCCTAAAAACGGTGTAAAACTAAACTCACTCACTAACTGTCGCAAAAATTAGACACTTCTGACTGATATATCAAGCTAAACTATCGAAGACCCTACCTTCTCGTTCATGCCCAGAAAAAAACCCTGGTTTATGTGGATTGTGTCTTTCCGGATTAACGATCTCAAGGTCCTCATGTATTTCTAAGCCTACAGTAACACCCGGACGAAGGGTTCCTACAACGGGTTCGGACTAATGACGTTTCGCTGTGATAGCGTCATCGTCCATCACCCCGCCGCACCCCACCCCACCCCACCCTTCCGTCACACCATACCCCACTACTTATACCCTCTTCTATCCCCCAGTTCCTAAACCATGTTCGCTGCTGTCCAGCGAATCTGCAATGCAAAAAGCCTTAATGAAGCAGTTTTCCACAGGTTCTGAATCTACCAGCTAAATGGCACATTTTCAATTTAGATAGAGTTATTTGTTATAAATTAAAGATTATTTTACTTAGCTTACTAGACTTTCCCCGGTCTCTTCCTCGACTGACTGAATACTAACTAAGAAGGCCATAACCCTTCATAAACAAGGAAATGTTTATGGTAACACGGGACTGTCATTTCAACCTTACCGTAAGTTGTTCACGATAGTGTTCCCCAATTTTAGGTTCGCGTCGACCTACTTTTTAAACGGCAGCGGAGTTCGATCATTTAAATACGATCAACCACTGTTAAATTTATTAATTACAGTTTAAGTATTTAAACTCTGGACACTGCAAACGCTACAGTCGTTGAACCCGTGGATTGACAACCTTGAAATGAACATGTGCTTGACTTGTTTATGAACTGTAAGTCATGGCTCTTCCTAGCCGGAGAATGTGTTTACGTGTCTCCGACACCTAATTTATGTCCTGATCAAGAGTCCCGTGTCTATATTTGAACAGATCAGTCGCGGATAGGTCGGGCCGGTTATTCGACACTGCATAATGTAAACATATCCGATTAATGGATACCATCCCGGTCGCGTATTTGTAACCCACGCATATTTCCAAGAGTGAGATCCCCTTTAAGAAACGATACCACGTTCCTATTGCTTGTCGTTAAAGGCGATGTAAATGAGAATCGGGTGGTCAGTATGGATGCTGAGTGTGGCTACTACTTCTTATCCATAGGATTTGTCTTGTATTACTACTTCTTACACTGTGAATAAAGAACACTGACCACACCGCTTGAGTAAACTTGCAGTATAGCTGATTATAAGCTGCTGTGATATTGCTGGGGGAGGCTGTGTTACTGTTAATATTTCAGCCATACATACCTGCGCTGTAACTGCAATATCGCGGAGATACTATCTCAAAATGTCATAGCGCACTTTCAACACTCTATACATGACTAGACAAACACCCGTTGTCTGGAATGTATGCTTTTCTTGTCATCGTACGGACGGTTAAGCCCAAGTCGTTATGGTTCTTGTTCCGAAATCCGAGTGTGACCCGCTAAGGAGATGCGGCTTACAAGCCATTTAACCCCATCTAGACGTGTCTGGGGTCACGGATACATTGGTATCGGGCAGTAATCACTGGGTTATATGCTCAGTAGGGTAATGCTGTCATAACGGAAAATTAGGTCAAGGACATTCATAAGTGTACTTAGGTCAAGGTCATGTAGAGGGAACTATGCAATATCGTTTAGAATTTACATCAATACACTGACGAAATGTTTGTTGCGTCACTTCTCTTTCTTGACTCTCTTCCTCGACCAGGGTACCTGTAACCATATTCAACTGTATGTACCCGATACCATTCACATACGGGAAGTAGCCTCCATCATATATTTCTACAGGTGCCCATCCCTTCGCTCCTGATGGTCATTACCGTTCTTTCATGATATTGTCACATGAAAATGCCCCCTCCACATCACCAGGTGTCCCGACTGAAATCGTTCCCCTTTAAACCCTACTACCACTTCCTCAGATCATTACACTAAACCATGTTTATAACGAGTGAGTTAGTTTATTTTTACGCCACCTTTGGCACTATTCCGGCAATATCACGCCGGGGAACGCCAGAAACCCACGTGGGGAATCAAACCCGGGTCTTCGGCGTGACGAGCGAACACTTTAACCACCAGGCTACCCTACCGCCCATGTTTATATCCGAGCACGTTTATAACGAACTAATGGATATAACGAATATTTGGTCCCTACCACTTGCTGTACATATTTGTGGAAATATAACTACGCTTATAACGAACGAATGGATATAACGAATATTTGGTCTCTACCACTTGCTGTACATATTTGTGGAAATATAACTACGCTTATAACGAACGAATGGATATAACGAATGTTTGGTCCCTACCACTTGCTGTACATATTTGTGGAAATATAACTACGGTTATAACGAACTAAAAGTTGTGGTCCTGAGTTTGTTATTCATGAGTGTGAGTGAGTATGGTTTTACGCCGCTCTTAGCAATATTCCAGCAATATCACAGCGCAGGACACCAAAAATGGGCTTCAAACATTGTACCCATATGGGGAATCGAACCCGAGTCTTCGGCGTGACCAGCTAACACTTTAACCACTAGGCTACCCAACCCCCTCTTCGTTATGACTGTGGTGTGCTGTGTCTGGAAAAGAAGCCAGTGTGTGTCCTATCCCGAAGACTGCCTTTAAGTCCATGATTTACGGCAGTGTATCCAATAACGCTGACCCGATCTAGCGTTCTTGAAGCATGTACAGGTGTAATGTATGGATCGAGTGCAAATAACTACATGATGACTTCCATAAAACCATCTACGACATACAGGTGTGACATCCGAGCGTCGACGAACACCACGGATACAGGTCCACGTCTCGTGTCCCATACATACAGATGTATCATTGAGTGTAACTTGAAAACCTTGGCGCTAATGATATTAAAAGTCGATCGTCTACCACCCAGCATGAACGTACCTGCATTATGTAAACTTCTAACACCTTCAGCTATTGGCTTGTATTGTTAAGTTTTGATGAAATCAGGTCAAATTCATTCTACGTTCATTACAACAGCGCTGTGTACTTAGCGGCAAGAAATGTCGACGCAGTTTAAATATCGCCAACAGTCACCATGAACCGGTGTCTGCTTTCGTTCCTTGAGCACGCTAGAGGCTGTCAAGCATAGTCAGGCATTCTCCTCTCACGTCTTCCTACAGGTTCCCGTGGCCGACCTGAAACTGTGCATGCGAATTTCCCATAAGTTCTCCCCCAAGCCTGACCCTCAGGTACTTTGCTCATACCCCTCGTCTACAGCTTATAACGTTCCACTAACCCAGTGTCAGAAGTTACATGCCATCGGTTATCCTATCAATGCTCCCGTACCTCGGAACACGATCACATCGTCATGCAAGACTCGTGTAAAGTCGTGTATGTCCGGGAGATTAACCCTTTCAGTGCACATCGCAAACCAGGAAAGAATACGTGATTCTTTTGACATGAGTAATTCAAACGGTGTTTCTTAACCTGCCTACTACGATTGAATATGTTTTTAAATGTTATTCTCTTTTTATTTACAGCCCACTTGATATTTGAGTCTCGAGCAGGAGGTGATATCTATATCAAGAGCCCTCAAACGAAGAAATACATCTGTTTTAATAAAAAAGGCAAACTAATACTACGGGTAAGTACAATGTTTTAGTATTTAGTATTTTTAGTAAGCGGAGCATGCATATTATGAAATAGACTGTCTCACAGTCCCTAATTCACATTATTTCCCCTTCCACCTAATGATTTTGCAATGCACTTACTCTAGATTTCCTGAGTTCACTGGGGCTTCTTTTCAATTTAAGTTATTTGTTTTCCGTCAAAATTATATATTTTCAGAGACTAAGCTCCTCTGTGTTATGGAGTCCTGGGTGTGAACAGGGAAGGGTATGCGTATTTAGGGACAAACACTGAGTGAAATGTGATATTTCTTTTTCTGAATCAGATATTTAACAGAAGGGTCATGAAGTTAGAAATGAGATAATTGTCGGAGCTCGAGGTCGTCGAAACATTCCACAATTGCTCACTGGTAGCTCATGGCGAGGCAATCCTGTACACATACTTCCTATCCCCTGATTTCCGGATTAAACTGTCATTGGACTGATAAAAGAAAAAAGATAAAATGTTGGGAATTGTTTAAACTGTGTATATCTATGTGATTGTCACATTCCACACAAATGGTACAGTCACGAATATATTTCTCAGAAGTCGATATTTGAAATATGTTTATGAAAGAGATTGGAAAGTGTTTTCATGCTTTGATCGTCGGCCATTCCTGGAAATATGGACGTTGTTGGGCATTTCACTATTTGATTGTTAAAATAAGTGCGAGATAAAGTGAATAGTTCATTTCGGTATGGGGTGCATGGGTGGCCCTATCGTTCGTGTAAGGCGCCTCAATTCGATGTGCTTGTTGCGTCCCTTGGGCACATCAAAATCTATGATTGGTGGTTTGAAGCCTGGTACCCCACGATTATTACCATGCTCTTGGAGTTCCCCCAGAGTCTTAAACATTTGTCACTGCATCACACTGGTCCTTCATCACACATTAATCTGACGCGATGAGATACTGTTCAAATGTAAACCAAGATCACTGACTCCGCCATTCTGGTATTGAGCTAAGTAAGCGTTTTTCTTTCACTCTGCATTAACACATTTGTTGACACGTCCGGGTACGATAACCATATATAAAGTTACAACACATTACATGCGATAATGAAATATTGGCACGGGTATGTAACCGGCCCAAGGGGGCGTTGTGATAGTCTAGTGGTTAAAGTGCTCGCCATTCATGGTCAAATTAGATTCCCAATGCTGGTACAGTGGTTTCGATGTCCCAAAGGTTTGGCTGAAAAATGAAGGAATAGTGGCATCACAATCTAGACACGCTATGATCTGTGAAGAACCATACCAAGGTACCACAGAGTGATCATATAAGTTACCGATGGTAACTCCATCTGAGACATCTGTAACTCCATCTGAGACACACCCAGATCCTCAAGACATTTCTTGGCGCAATGATACCCAGGGCTAGACAAGGCAGTTCCGGTTCTGTGATGTTTCTCATTGGTTGTCCTCGTTGGTCTTCCGTCATAGTTTACCAAATGATCCCTAGTTGTAATGGACCTGGCCTAGGTTTATTACGTATTGCTTGACCACAGTCAATTGTCCATTCTTAGGGTACTAGGAGACCTCAACAAGAATCATTACAAAGTGTCTTTGCTTGACCACAATCAGTTCTTGGACATCACACGTCCCAATGGTACAAGCAGACCAACATCCAAGATCCCAACAGTGTGTCATTGTTTGACCACTGCCCAGCCAGGAACACGACATCATTCCTCCAAAAGGTGGGCGTGTCGTCAACGTGGAGAGAGGAATTTCATGAATACTGCAATTCCCTACGTCTCGTGATGGTCACATGTCAGACAAACCTGAATGTCTGATGTGGTTGTACATTGTTTAATGTAAGTGGCGACGGTTACCCACAGCGAAAGCGATGACATGTCCCCAGAAAAGCAGAAAATTAATTAAATACGAAAGTGAAAAATGTAGCTGCTAAAAAAACCAGTACGCCAGACATGCTCCGATCCGTGAATCCGGTCTCCGGCGGAGCAATTACATCACAGACAACGTTTTACCCTCCCCACGTGACTAGGTCCACACGTGGGGTTCTGTGACGTCACAGTGACAGGTTGATGGCTGGCGAGACCGTTGAAGTATGTGCCATGCATTAATTATTTTGCATGTCATGTAAACAACCGAATTAGTGACCACTGCTATGTAAGACTTCTTGCCTCGAACTGTCCTTGAGAATATTAAGAGAGCGAAAAACAGATTGTAAAATAATCTGCACTCAAGCACTTAGTGAAACCTTTCAGTTTTGTACCTCCAGATTCGTATTTCTTAAATCTTAAATCGTGGATTCCGAACATGCCAATTTGTGTCAAACGAGTATTGACGGTAAATATTTTGCAATGCATGGTTAATGCAATCTTGGGTACATTTTCTTACTGAAGGCCGCGATTGTCTATTGTGATGTTTGAGTGGAGCTCGTGTGAGCGACTAGGACACTAGAAGCACCAGCCATGGCGACCTCGGGAGAGGAAGATGCAGGGTGGTCGATAGATGTCTAACTTGTGACGACTCGACCCCCAGGGAGCTGACTGCAACAAGTACACCGTCACAGCACCTATAATCAGGTAGCTCTGGCTTGTCGGCGGCTGTTTGTCACCGTACCAACTTCAGAGGATTGGCCTGATTCAAATTACCCTGCGTTGGCTGAGGCAGACCGAGTCAAGGTCTTGGCGGAGTTGTAAGCCAACAACATGCTGTCAGCGTTCAACAAGACTCATTGTTCACTCATATCAACAGGTTGTCTATGATGACCATGTCTGCATATTAGAGGGGCGTGGGGTAGCCAAGTGGTTAAAGCGTTCGCTCGTCACGCAAAAGACCCGGGTTCGATTCCCCACATGGGTACAAAATGTGAAGTCCATTCCTGGTGTCCCCTAACGTGATATTGCGGCGTAAAAACTCATTCATTCACTTTGATAAAGGCTAGTTGGCGCTCTTGTCTCGAGAAGATGGCGACCTGTATCACTGCGTCTTATCCGCTGGCAGCAAGTGATTAAATTGTGAAAAAGTGCCGTTAAATCTAACTCACTCACTCGGATAAGAATCCACTAGAAAAGAGGCCGAGGAGCCAAATGGTGTGATGCCCTCTACCCGCTCGTGGACCAATATAGATAAAACGATACATGTAGATGACACAGAGTATCCGGTTCTCCGTCTATCGCAGCGCCATCTACCTGCGGGGCACGGGATCCCAGTAATGAACTCCATATCTACATCACCCAAATAGCCAGCATAACTCTCCCCCATTTGCAGACAATCAGTTCACATTTTCCATTCACGCGTTTTTCTGATGTGTGCATGTAATCGTGAGAGGACACACCTCGAGGCAAGGATTACAGACCGTTTGTCTGTACAGCTCATCCTCCTCTGATGGCGGGTCTTCATCCCAAAGAGATCTAGATGTGACTCACACCTGGAATGTCAGGCCAGCATACCGAGAAGGATGTCCCCAACGGAGATACCTTGCATTTTTTCTGTCGGGGCGGTTGGGTAGCCCAGTGGTTAATGCGTTCGCTCGTCACGCAGAATACCCGGGTTCGATTCCCACATGGGTACAATGTGTGAAGCCTATTTCTGGTGTCCCCCGCCGTGATATTGCTGGAATATTGCTAAAAGCGGAGTAAAACTCACAGTCATAGACTTAGTTTCACTTTCACCCCTCTCCAATATTGCTGAATGTGGTGTAGAACATAAACAGTTCATATAGAATGTAGTTGTAGAATATGAAGGTGTACAGAGGTAACTATCCTCCTGAACGAAGTCAACCCCGCGTTCGATACATCACCAACATTAACGTTAAACAGCCCTTTCGAGGAAGCAATGCAGTTTCGTTCGAGACAACCTCTAATTCGACATATCCGACTTTGTTAGGATCGTGACTGAACGTACAGCAGAAATTCTGGCACATCTGTATGTATGATCTGTACTCAATACTGGTATAAGACAGGGACATGTCCTTTAAGCCTCGTCGTATGCCCAGACAAGGCCGCTTTGCAGTACAGATAGAGCCTTTGACACAGGAGGGCATTTCCTGTAGATTCTATGAAAGGCTTTATGGCTCGTTTCTCAGTGTCCCGTTGGTAGTAAGGGAAGAATTCCTTACTGTGACGTCACAAAATACGACCGTTATGTCTATACAGAGTTGTTGTTATATATGTTATAAGCAGTCACCACAACGGCCCCACCTCCACCCGCCTCCACAACGACAACACCAGCACACCTCAGGAATAAAACTAAAAGTATACACGTTTTCCGCACGTGTCTATTCCGCTAAGAAGGTAGACCACTATAGTGTCTAGTTCAAGGCCATGCTAACATTCGCTCAGGCTGCTCGGTGCCAAGACAAACATATATACAGAAACCTCTTAAATCCGGATACCCAGTGGTTTATCCGGACGCTTTAACTTGAAGTGTCGGATTAATAGGGTTACACTGTACAGGGACTAACTCAAGTTGTAATAAAGCTTCACAAAAAAATCAAATAAACGCCATATACGAGTGGAAAAACAGATCGATTGTTTGAAAAGCTTTCCTCTATAAATCGGTTTCTGCAGTATTGCCCAATTCATCAAGTCTCGTCACCTCGTGGGGGATAGGATATCGGTAGCGTGCATTTTGTTCACTCCATATCAGCTGGGTTGAACCTAATTAATGCAAGGCACAGGGGCTTGTTTGAAGTTGCCAGGAACGGGTTGAGAGCAGAGAGACCCTTCGTTGCCTGTTTCCCCACACCGTCCCCAAACTCCCGTACGGTTGATTATGTGATAAGACTTGCAGGCTAGAAGTAGTTAGAGAGTATTGACATACACACACGCTGCGACTATCGTTCATTCACAGCTTCTAATATACTTCTTCAGCTGGCGACATAGCCCCGTACCCAGAATAACCTGCTTCGAAGGGGCATGGGCTGGGGTTTACGAGCTATTAGTTCAAGATAGGGTTATCTTATAATGTCTAAATTGCCTCTTATCTACCATACAAGATTGTTAATAAATGAAACCGGAATCATTTGTTTCTGATACTAACGGCGTTTCATATTCTGATATAATTGCCAGTATGGAACTAGTCATGGCCGACCGTTTGATCTCGTATCAAGAGGGATTCCCGCGATCCGCGATATCAACCCGTATTCACATAGATTTTCATGCGAGGCACCCACTTATTAAAACTCTTATGAGGTTTATAAAACAAGCGTGTGTCTGTGTAAACACCGCGTGTACACATTGTGGTTGGGAAGGGCGCGCAGGGGCCACTGTCTGACGACACGTGTATCGAGTCGTGGGGGTGACAAGACCTTTACTGAAATAAGACACCGTCAAAACACCCCGTGATACGGAGGCAAGGCCCCGGCTGTTACAGGTTTCCTCCCTGCAGCTAATTCGGGATGAAGGGACGGCATCAGATTCATACAAGGAGCAATGATACATTTACCGGGTATAAACAAGACTGTTTGGTCGACATGTGCCCTTTGTGATGCTTTGCACATCTTGTTTGGCCACGTTCGAGCGGATTACACCCGAATTCTCCCTTATGACACTTCTCGGGTGTGTCTCCACCCACAGTCCGCAGTTCGGGAGGGTGGGGGTTGGGGGGGAGTCTACACTGTTGACCCAGTCTCGACTGTCCCTATCCACTAGTCCATTGGTCCCATTTCAAGTGTGTCTCTACAATACTGCTCCCATATAAGGTTCTTCTACCCTGGGTCCTAATTTGGGTCGCGTCTCTACCCTTTTATCCCCCTGGACTTCATCTTCCTGCCCTCATCATGGCTGCATCTGTACCATCTGTATCTTCTCTCCATATCCTTGAATTTGGTTCATTATACAGCAAAACATTTTGCTGAAAGATAAATAATAAACATTTTTGCAATATTGAATTATAGACATGGACGAGTTACAAGGCGAAATTATTAAGACAATGAGAGATTTTGGCGCTGTATGAATCATTTTTAACTTGACTGAAACAGTTGGTGGTTGTAGAAATCCCAACTACTCACGAATGTTGTGTTCCTATATATGACCGTGTATTCATATTTCGTTTTTTATATTTCAGCATACACAGAAACCGCAATGTTTGTTCACGCAAGTGCAACGCTCGGACAACTATACAGAGCTCAGGTCCAAGGCAAACGAAGAATGGTACATTGGCTTTCGCGAGAACGGAAAGCGGTTAAAAGGTTATGCCAGAAGAAACCGAAGAAAAGAAAAGTGTTTTCACTTTGTGGTAGTAAATTTGACTCCAGCGCCCCCAAAACCCTGGAAAATAAAAGGATTTTTGAATCGAAGGAGGCGAAGTTGATATTATAGCCAAAGTATCTAGATTTCTCGGCATGAATACCTTACCGGAAACCCGTTTCACTGCGGAACACCGGAAGTGCGAATGTTAGCACGCAATGCGGGTCCTCAGCAGCGCCGCCATTGTTGGGCTAGGGCAGTTGGGATAGCTGCAAAAGTACCGGATGAGTAGTGCAATTTCGTCCACGACTGGAACGTCAGTCGTCTTGAAACCACAACCACAAGCGTCCATGGCAACGTAACCTAGCAACAGCATCACTAGGATCCACGTGGTCTTTCCTTGCCTGCATATAGTGAGAACCAATCTTGTTGGTGTCCCATGACGTCACAATCGTCATAGTGTCTACTTGACGTTACAATTGTCATCGTGTCAACGTGACGTCACAATCGTGTCAACGTGACGTCACAGTCGTGTCTACGTGACGTCACAATCGTGTCTACGTGACGTCAACAGTGTGATAGAAATACAGACACACATTTCAGTGACGACAGGAGTGCGATAAGAAAACGGACACACATTTCGGTGACGTCATAATCAGGGATTTTTTGGTAGCATCTGCAAGTGTCGTTGCCATCCCAGACTATTTGAACCATATAGACTCGGGAGGCAGGCATTCAGACTCGCCTAGTGAATGTGGGCTAAATCAGACGCTGTTAAGTCACGTGATCAGTGTCCACTGTCGCATGTAGATATATACCAGTTATCCAGACTACACCACCTCTGTATAGATATGTAACGTAGACTACAACAACATAGTTTCTACTGTACTGTCGCCCTTTCCCATTACATCACGTGACTGAGCGACACGCCCGCAGAACACCGCGGAATGATCACGTGGTCACAATCTGTGCGGAGCCAGCCTCGATCTGGTTGTCAGCTCATGTCATACACGTGACACCGTCTACTGCATTTGATTCCAAATGTAAACCAATATCATGAGTATTATATCGTATAAAGTAATGTAGCTCACTAACCCAAGTCAATGAGAGCTACCCACTCGGATGGGCGGTGGGGTAGCCCAGTGGTCAAAGCGTTAAGCGACGACCCGGGTTCGATTCCCCACATGGGTACAATACGTGAAGCCTATTCTTGGTGTCCCCCGCCGTGATGTTGCTGGAATATTGCTAGAAGCGGCGTAAAACCATACTCACTCACCACGATGCGAGCGAGCTATGACTGTATATCTCGTGAGATTATGAAAGCTTCACCATCTGATGTCATTGTAATCTTCATCTTATCACCCATTGTTGTCATTCATCACCATAGCAACCTGTAGCCCATGATCACGTTAGGTCTAACCCTCTCCCGTCAGGCCAGTATGCTCCACCCCCTTATTTCTCTCCCTTTCCCCACCTTGACAAACGCTTCCAATGGTTCGAATGGTGCTACTTTGTGTGACAATGTTTTTACTGTTTCTCCCAGGTGTTTTCTTCGTCGAACCTTCAGATCCTTTTCCAACGCAGCATCTTAGGGGGCCGGGGGGACTGGTTAGTGAACACCTCAGGTCATATGTACTTAAAAATGTTTTAATTTAAAAGGTTTTCATTGTAGATATCCTTGTTCACTGACCATCATAGAATGTCCAATATCCATGGAGCCCTAGTTCGGACAGGTCACTCTGTCCATCCACAGACCGAATAGCCAGTTAAGATAATAATACCTTTATGCCAGTTGTGAGCGGCCGAGTGGTGACAATGACATTCCTCCTGACAAATAACAACAGCGATATTAACGCTCAAATTGGAAACGTGCTTGTGACAAAGGCATTCGGAGTGTCACGTTGTGGACATTGGACAGTCCAGAGATGGTCAGCTTGCTTGGATTGTCACTAATCCATCAGTAGTAGCTGTGTGGCGAAGACAAAGTAGTACCTTAAGCAGTAATCAAACTGCCGTGATATCTTGGTAAATACATAGGACGCCCACCTCCGGGCGTCTCTCCCCATCTGTGTTACAAACCACGCGGACGCCATCTTAGCTGCTTCCTGAACACCTTAACCACTTTTCCCCAATTCCAATTCAAATACGTCCTGGGTTCCTAGCACTTAAACACTTAAGTTGAAGGCCATTTTAGCCAATTCCATCACCACAAGTTTACGCTCTGCCTTCTGCCTATGTCGTTTCCAACCCACCGTCAATCCATACGTTAGAATGAACGTTTTAGTGTAAGCGTGTTTTGAAATTCAGATTGGTACAGAATGTTAAAAGTGATATGGACTTTTTGCGTTGCAAGCATCCCCTAATTGTTCCCACCCTCCCCCTAGAAGGCGCATAATCTCCCTATGTAGGGCATAATTATAATGTGATACGTGGTCGCCGTAAACGTCATGACGTAACGCCGGCGTCTACAGTGTCTTCGTGTCGGGGTTTCACTGATGTAATATGTTCTCGTGTCCTCGATCCACGCTACATACAGTTTGTACAGTTTTCATCAATCATCTGATCTCGTATGCAAATCTCTGTGTACATAATGTGTGTATCATATTGTTGTATAAGCCAAAGATATATTTATTTAAAGAGATGATGTAAATACTACAATCTCTGTCCCGTGGTATTTATGCACAAAGTGTGCTAGATGCGACAACAAGATAACAATAAACAATCTTAAACATGCTTTTGTTATTTCGTCTTTTCTTGCATTTTTGACACCATGATATATCGAACTCCACAGGAACTGCAAATCCAAATGTAAAGTCGTGTCTGGGAGACGTCACCGCAAGGCGATTAGAATCGACGTGAAAGTCAAGTTTATCCATCTGCTGTCACATACAGACGCCTCCAGATGCAAGGAACTATAAACACCTTCAAAACCAGTTTCCTACATTTCTAGATCGTTATTGATAACAAGAATGACATAATTCCTATCGCATAAGCCTTCGTCATATCCGGGGCGGTGGGGTAGGCTAGTGGTTAAAGCGTTCACACGCCAAAGACACTGGTTCGATTCCCCATATGGGTACAATGTGTGAAGCCCATTTCTGGTGTCCCCGCCGTGATATTGCTGGAATATTGCTGGAATATTGCTAAAAGCTGCGTAAAACCATAATCACCTACTCGTCATATCCGTTGTTCGTTACCGATGTGGACAATAACATTGACAATAATTCCTACGATCTGAGATGTCAGAAGCAATGGCATAACTACATTTTTTAATTTGGGAGGGAAGGTATGGTAATTAGTTTCGCTGTACCACTGTTAACCCCCGTAATAACACCCTTAAGTGGACGTCCCAGGGGGTGTTATGGCATAACAGACTTTACATCTAGTATGTCATGTGTTCTAGACACCCAAGTACATATGCATTCAAAAACATTAACATATACACGATTTATCCATGACAAATAAATGGATATGTCTTGTTATTAACCGAATTGTTGTAACTTAAAACGGACCCAAGAGAGTTATGAATGGCCCCCTTTGTGATAGCAGGTCACGTATTTGGTAGGAAACACTTCGCGTTATACGTAAAAAACGACACTATAAGAGTGAAGTGCATTTATGACTTTGACAGGATGATTCTGCTATGTTTGCACTTCTTTGTTATTGTTTTCCGAGAGCAAACATTTGGATATCGTAGAATCTTCCGAACTGCACGATACTGGCCCGTGTGACAGAAGTTAACCCTGGTGATTAATTCGCTGTTTATTTCATCCCATTCAACGGTATAACCTTACAAAATCACCCTTCGTTAGTGAGTTTGAATATGTTTATTTGCTCTACTGATTGTATATTTAATGCAGTACTAAGGCCCATTTAGGATGGAGGAAGGGTTAAGTGTTCGCTCGCCACGCTGTAGATCCGGGTTCGATTCCCCAATGTGTGAATTCATAATTTTACATAATTTTGGTTGAAACATGCAAAATGCTATTTAAAACAAAGCTATGACATTAAATCAAGACGATTGAATTGCATGATGGGTAATGATTAATGGAATAATGATCAATGATTCATGGAAAGATCATTCTCTCTAAAATTGTTTATTGGGGTATATTATTTTATGTGATTTTCAACCCTAGCTTGCTTTTAATCATATTTGTGCAAGAATATGAGTGTTGAGACGATGTGATATATCTCACAAATCCTATCAAATCATATACCCAGGAATTTGTTCATGAAGCACTAACAGATAGTGATGATTCCAGGTGATCTTGAACACATTAACACCAATGCCAGTGTAGACCTCTGTGACAGTTCGTGTAGACACAAATCCCCACATACAGTAGAGACCACATCAACAGTGTTTGCAGACGCACCCGTGAAGATCCGGGTTAGAACTGATCTTCAGTAACCCATGCGTGTCGTAAGAAGCGACTAACAGAATCGGGTGGTCTGGCTCGCTGACTTGACTGACACATGTCATTGTATTCCAATTGCGTAGATCGATGCTCATGCTGTTGATCACTGGATTGGCTGGTCCAGATTCGAATGTTTACAGACCGCCGCCATATAGCTGGAATATTGCTGAGTGAGGCGTAAAACTGAACTCACTCACTCTTGCCGACACAGCAGACCCGTAAACACAGCAGACCCGCATATTTGGTACTAGAAGACACACTTGTCCCCACAAACACTGCAGATCCCTGTAATAGTTCTTGTAGAGCACAGCCCTGATACACAGTGAATACCCCTGTGACACGGGTAGACACACCGGCCTCCTATACTCCGAAGGCCCCTGTAACACTTCTAGAAGGCACAACAGCCCTTTTATACAGTGCAGACCCCTGTAACTGTAACAGTTCTAGACACACAGCAGCCCTCGTATACACTGTCCCTGTGCCAGTTCCTATTGATACGAAAGCCCCGCATAAACTGTAGACCCCTGTGGCAGATCTGGTAGACACAGCAGCCCACAGCAGACACGTGCGTCCACATCCAAGCAGCATCCAGCGACATCTAGTACACATCCAGCCATATCTAGTAACGCTCAACAAACCTACACGTTTGGCATACCTTGGCAACTGGAAAGATAAAAATGCCTAACATAGAATATACAGATGAGTACTTAAAGTGACATCGTCTTAACAGACTCTGAAATGATCATTACTCCTTCCCAAAGCTTCCTGCAGTACATATACATTGTAGTTTTGACTCATCAAGAGATCATAACAAGTAGAAACACTATATTCCATAACGTGCTACGTGGATAATAGAAGCATTCAATGAATAGGAGTCCCAAGAGATGTACGTATGTGTCCACCGAGTTCTGTATAAAAGTTATCTTTTGTATTCATAAAATCTTTTTTTAATAATCCAAAGTATGACATGTCACAACCTCCATGGTATACTAGATATATGGACGTTATCTGGTTGTAGGTTGTTTTTTAATCACAGGTTGGACAGGTGTTTTTTTATCAACGACAGCCGTCAACAGAAAAAAGTTCTCATCTATAACATATAACACCTGGCCGAGACTGGACCAAGCAAAATGTAGAGCCCTGTGTAATATGATGAAGTCGCTTTAATCGACAACATGGCGGCCCAGATAGGATGGGACAGGCGACAGATCAGTTTCACAAGATCGACTATATATTACGGTAGGTAAACGATCCCTGTCAGGAATATTCACCTTGGAATTCTCATAAGTCTCAAAGTTTAATAAGTTTCCAAAATAACATCTTTCGGAGATAGATGGTTTCTTGATGAAGCATAAACATCCTCCGTGAGATAAAATAACACCGTATGTGTATTTATAGGAGGAAAGTAGGGTATATCGCTATACGTCTGTCTTGTATAAACCTTCTTCATCGGGGCTTTAGAATACAGCTTTTCTATGGGTCATTATGTTGACGTAACACCGGCCCTAGTTCGGTCCCCCCGTGAATGTAATAGGCTGAGACGGTACAGCCGTTTCGATAAATAACAAGGCGATTTACTCAATGGAACGTTTTTAATCCACACGGTGTTGCCCAATACGCCCGGATTGGCAATGGAAACCTCTAACTCTCTTTTGGGTTATATCATACATTTTAAGCAATATGATACAGCGATATAAGCGATATGATAAACAGTAACAATACTGTTCTTTAAAACACCCGGTGTCAAAACGGATTTTCACTACTGGGTGAACGAACAATTTTGAATAGACTCACATCCTAAAGTGAGACCACATGTGACATTTGTGCTTCGTTGTGGGTCAGGACTGAAGTCCAAGAAACTCTCAGGAGTGAAGCTGCCAAATGCGGTCACCCATCCAAGGACTCTCCGGCACCAACGTTGCCAAACTTCAACCGGTTTGTGATCTAGGCTCCATGCACAAGACCACACTGCCACTCGTCCTATCGGTAACGTTATCGTTATAACGGGTGTCCGTTCAAAAGGGTTTCCTGTTTGTCAGACCAAATTACCCACACACACACTTTATCATCTCCTTCACATCACAGAACACTAGAGGGATAATAACACGAAGCATAAAAAGCGTATCAGCTGGAGTAATTAATGATTGCCTAGTGCCAACATGTTGTCTGTATAACTACATTGACAAAGCTCCCAGATAGTTGCATCGAAACGTACCTCGGAAACTTGACTATGCAACAATAAAAAATGTAACATTGCCATAACACACAGCTAACGAAACCAAACAGCGTAGTTAGTGGGGACAAAGTCCTTCAGGAAGTGTCCTTCTGTCAAGAGTTATTAATAAAATAATAATATTTAAAATAATCCCGATGATATTCAGTCTTCTGTTAAAAGAGACTTGCAGAGATAGATTGAAATTGAACATTTAAGACAAGCAACACGTATACTATTGGACTGACAGTTTCCACTCCTATATTCAGCATAAACTTAACACGCTGCGAAGACGTGATCACTGGGGAAATCCGAAATGACTTTATATAGTCAGTGCCTGGAAGTTTCCATTGAATATTTAATACATTTTGGTACACCTATTAATTAAGAAAGTGATGCCATACCGTATCTAGTGATAAACAACATTGTATCTTCATTGACTGTTTTTTGTGTTTATGCTAATTCACATTTGTGTACATGTGTGAAGATCGTTTCCGGGCAACACAGCAGAGATATCTGAGGTGAAATGTGTACCGTAATTACCATGTTTCCTGCACCGCAAATGGACGCCGTATTGGTCATTACTAGAGCTGTGACGATATATCGTAGTATCGATAATCGTGATAATTTATCTGATGATAAATATATCGATACATTTTTTTGTATCTTGATATGTATCGTTGATCTTAAAATTGTTAATATTCACTAGAAATTTACACTGTTACTTGCTATCAAAATATACTTTTAAAAAGAAAATAACTTAAGATAGCATATCGTGATTTGCATCGAATCAAATCGTATCGTTCCAAGATATCGCAATACGTATCATATCGTGAAATTTCTGTACTGCGTACAAAAGAAAGTGCACACCTGGTGCTTTGGTATTCTTTTGAAAAAGTGTTTTGTCGTGAACCTGTTAACATGGACAAAATTGCAACGTCGCTATTTGGTATGATATAATTTATGGGGTTTTTTTCACAAAATTTGTGACTTGTAAGTCACAATCAAAACATTTTTCAAAATATTTACGTTGTTTTTAAGGAAGACAATCAGCATTCACCAACTGTACACTTTCTTTTGTACCTCGGTTTCTGTTATAATATGTT